TCATCATAATAATTGTCATCAGCCTTCCGATGATAGAAGTATAGCGCCTAGCGTTGTTGACTTATCACAGTTGCGATGTACTTCCTGTGGTAGGCGAACACATTGGTGCGAATGCATGCATCAGTCGTAGTAGCTCACGAAGTGTGTAGTGTTGGAGTTAGACATTGTCATTGACAATGACAGTTGCCATCAAGCAACTTGTCTGGTAGACAAGTTGCTCAATGGCAACTCTTTATTTGGATGAGGCTTGAGTGCTGGTGTTGCTGCATCTAAGACTCTCAAGAGCTTGAAGTTGAATTCTGAGTATTCGACTTGGAAGCACCCGAATGCACTGAGTGCATTGTAGATATGAACTTTTCACTCGAGCTAAGTTCATGCAAGAGCGCACATCATCATCATCATCATGAGAAAACAAGGGGTGGCAGTTAGGCTGTCCGAGCTACAGAGTTCGATGTCTGTTCCATCACAGCACGGTAGATGACTTCCTTTATTGTTCGTCTAGGACAGAACGGCTGCAGGTCTTCATCCCAATCGAGAGTTACAGCAGTGATAAGCATCTCAGCGAAAGCCCGCTGGATGCGATCTGTATCAAACTCGTCAGCAATAAGACTCCAACCAGGTCTTCCAGCTTGTTCTCTGACGTCGCTGTTTTTGAGAAGCTCAGAGGCGATTTCTATCATCAGCCTGGAGGAGTTCTTCCAGAGCTCGGGGGACTGTGCAGAGGAGGCATTTCCCATCGCGGTCCTCAGCATGTTCAGACCTTCATCAGAGATTTGCAGTCTGACAAGAAAACGATAGCACTGGAGAGCGTCTTCTTCCTCACGAGCAAGGCCTTTTGGTAGAGTAGGATAGGGCCATGCTCGATAAGAATGCGCGTCGGCTCTGACTGTCCCACGCTACTGCTAGCTGTGTCTGGAGGTCTTCCTGCATGAGGACAATCATATCGGGAAAAGATGGTATCTGAGATCCCACCTGACTCCAAGGATGGTGGTAGACTGGGGTAGTCCAGCTCGCTGAGTGAGGCAGATGTGGGATTGCGTGTCGCCACATATAATAGGAGATAACAAATATCGCGTATTCGCCAGGGTGAGCAGCCATTGCCGAGGATATTGTCCGGAAGAAGCGAACACAGTCGACATGATCTCTAACAGCATCGATGATCTGCTCTAATCTCCGCCTGGCTCCCTCTATAATGGCGTCCTCGCAGCTATAGTTGCTGCCTAGGGTGTAGCTGCTCTCTCTGGGATCGAACGTTGTTCCTCCCGGGCTCATGTTGTGGATCATGCCACGGGGCACATTACCACGGGTAGAGCCTCCCATCCTGTGAAGGGAATTTCTTTCAATTGCCCAGTCGACGAGATTTCCACTCACTTCAAGTACATCGAGGAATAATCGACGAAGTAGTAGCCGCTATTCTCGTCCAATTTGGCGCTCACCGATGCCCAATACTATCAAGGGAAGATGCACAGAAAAGAGCCATGGATGGCAGAACGCTCACCGTTTGGAAAGAGGAGACTCTTGTTGGGCTGCAAATTCGCCCATCTGGCAGTGATCCTCTGGGATATTGAACTTCGAGGGTGCATTCGGGTTCCTGAGGGTAGACGTAGCTCACACTGTTGTGGATGAGGGCAAGACTCACTCTTTCGGACGGAGGAGTGGCCGCTGAGGCTTGACACAGCGAGGCGAGGATGATGAGACCGGAGAACTGCATTATTCACTATCAAAGGAGGAGATACGTATCGTCTACGGTGTAACGATCAGTGGAAATCCGCACTGGAGTTACGCGGAGACGATGTCTCCGAGTAATTCCAGCACGAAGTTCGGACGTCTCTGAGACGCCCGAACTTCATACAGCGTGTAGGACGATGTTGTGTACTTAAGAAGTGTACGGAATGTCAATTCTTCTATTTGAACTCAACATAATCGTGCGTGAAACATCATCTACGTCCCACACAATTCTCAATAATATTATCCCACTTCAAGTATGGAGTGCACTCGGTTACATAACCTCTCGCTATGAGTTCAAAACTGTCGACATGATAACCGAGCGTCGTATATTCCAACCCTGGTTTATATATGTCAACTGACGTCCGTCGGATAGGGCTAGTGATTTACTATTAGCACTAGTGATTCCCGCTAGCACTTGTCACACTCTTTTAACTCCCGATGTAGGTCACTCCAGCGGCATGTCTGATCTAACGAATAAGCCGTCGAGGTATAAGCTCAAGAGCCCCTGGAGAATTGATGTCGATGGAGATGGCTGGTCGATCAGTGTGTGGTAACGTAAAGAACCAGAGGAGAAGGGAAATAGGCGTGTTGAGTACTGTCAGGTGCGCTGTGGTTGTTGAGAGAGGAGACGAGCTCGATATTCTCAGATGATCTGAGAGCCTACCTCTTGCATCTTCGAAACGTCACCGTCGATTGGTAGAGTCTCTTCGGGGTGCTCGCCCACTTCATTCTCTATTGGTCCTGTGATAGACTAGCGCTGGTTGCAGTATGCTAGACTCGTTGGTCGTGGTAACGACGACCAATCATCATGACGACCCCGGAAGCTTCCACATCATGTTTGTTCTGTTGTAGACTTTTCCGGAGACACCTGCACACAATCCTTGATACTTAGCCTGACCTTCAGCTAGAGCTACTTAGTCTTGCTATATACTGCTGTATTTTTTTACTGGAAAAACTATATTGTTGTGTTAATCATGGCACCTTTTACCAAGGCTAATCGCTATTGTGTTCACGAGAGCAGCATCGAACAGTCTTAGTGGTTGCCCTAGAGCTCCCGGGGACCTCATCAAGGTCTCCAGTATAGTCAAGATTGTACTTGCTGCCACGACGATAGATGGCGACGATCCGAGGTGTTTGCGGTCGACACAATCTGATGTTTTTTTCTGATAGTCTTTCCTCGATCACTTCTTCGAAGTCCCAAGCGAAAACATGACTTTAACCACGTTACGACTAATCGGTTACAACACTGCATAGTAGTTGACCAACTACTGATATGAACAATGTTTATCACAATGCAGAACTGCTATTAGTGTTGTTACAGTTGTCTCGAGGAGACTACATACATATACCACAACACTCCACTCGGCGTGGGACAGAATTGGAAGTGCATTCCATTGGACTATCAAACGCAATAACGTCGACTTCCTATGGGAAAAGCAAGCAGTAGTAATCACAGTCATGATGAATGCGTTGATAATCACGTTGTGATCATTCATCTTGTTCTTCACACCAACTCTCGATGGCTGAGGCGAGCTCCTCGGCGGTCTGTGGGGTGAAGGGTTTGGTGCAGAAATGGTCAAAATTGTGGGCCCAATTTTGGGACTTGAGGTCCTCAACTCTGCCGGCCGAACAGCAAACCAACATGACGTTACTAAAACAGTTACCGGGGATCGAACCGAGGACCTTCCGGAAGGAAGTACCGCTCCAGTTCCTCGTTGTCCATCATTTTCCTTATGGTCTCGGCTGCCTCGGCGCCTCCCATCTTAGGTGGCATGTTGAGATCTAACAGCACGATAAGGGGGTCGTCCACATCGTCACTCTCCTGTAGTTCTATCTGGCAAGAAACCATAGTAGAGTCATCGTATACCAGTAGCTACAACGTTTTCAATTGCATCTTCACCACCATTAACTCTCCTGATTCGATCTTCGTCGAAGCCATGACAAGTAAGACTCATCTCGGCCACATCCAAATTGTCGTCCTCATCATCAGCAAGGACCAAATCGATGGCCTCAACTCCAGAAAAGGTGGGCATGCTGATTTATCAACGTGAGATCCTGAGAAGGAACCATTCGGCATCACGGCAACCGTAAGATACGATACGTCGAGTTTGCGTTGAGGAAATGCAAGATTGCAAGATTGGCACACCTTTCCTCTTTAACGCGTGATCGATTTCGCTATAGCTTTTGCCCAGTCTTGGTCTTGTTCCTTTCCGAAGAAGTCATCAACCGCAGCGATGCCGTCTTACAACCGTTTCGTAGAGCCTGGCCGCTTCTGCACCGTCACCTACGGTCCCGATGAGGGCAAGCAGTGCACCATCGTGGACGTCGTTGACCATCGAAGGGTCGTCGTTGATGGACCTAAGAACGTCACTGGTAGTGTCAGGGGTGTTTTGGTAGAAAGAATAGGATGATGATGTCCTCAGGTGTTGCCCGTCAGCAGATTCCCATCCGTTGGTTGGCGTTGTCGGATTTCGTCGTCCCCAACACTTTCCGTGGCGCCCATGGTCCTACTGTAGCTAAGGGCCTCGAGGAGGGCGAGGTCCTTGCTAAGTTCAACGCCACTCGATTCGCTCGCAGGCGCGTTGCTCGCAAGAACAAGCTTGCGTAAGTCACTCTAGATTGTATGATGATGAGTGCTGTTATTGTTTTATTATTTCAGTCTTACCGACTTCGAGCGTTTCAAGGTGATGGTTGCCAAGAAGCGTATCGGTCAGGCCCTGCGTACCTCCATCAACAAGGTCCGCAAGCAGCAGCAGCACTAAGCAGCGTTTACTATGATGACTACGTCGAAGTTCTCATTTTCCGTTGTTGATACTAGCAGTAGTAGTAGCAGTGGATTATGATGACGATGACTAGGGCTGTATGATGACGACTGAGGCTGCATATTGTTATATGAGTTGCGTTGATGTGAAATGATGAGGATACAAGTGGAGAAGGAGGAGAATCTTAGGTCGCAACTAGAAGATACGAAATAGGTCCAGATCAGACCCATAAGGAACTCTGAGAATTATTTTCGACTTGTACTATGAGACTACATAAAGAGATTCACCCTCTTGTCACGTCGGACGTGTTCCATCATGTTAGTCTGTTCGGTTGTTTGCTCCGTTTTATTTGTAGTGGTAGTAGTAACAATGGCATCATCGGGGGCTCCTGTGGAATCCATCGACGTTGATGCTATCATTGAGAAGCTTCTCGAGGTAGTAGTATTATTACTTTTAGCAGCAGCGAATTTCCAAGCCTATTATCATTTTCAACAGGTACGTGGGTGTCGGCCCGGCAAAGGAGTCCAATTGACCGATGGTGAAATACGAGCTTTGTGTAACAAATCTAGACAGATATTCCTAGAGCAACCAAACTTGTTGGAACTGGAAGCACCGATTAAAATATGTGGTATGTGTCACCATCTACGTGTCACCATGTGGTAGTAAGTATGTCCAACAGGTGATGTACATGGTCAGTATTATGATCTATTGCGGCTCTTTGAATACGGTGGATTCCCACCAGAAGCAAACTACCTCTTCCTTGGTACGCATGTTGCTGTTATCCCCACAGACGTACTTGTTTTAGGAGACTATGTGGATCGGGGCAAACAGTCGTTGGAGACTATATGTCTGTTGTTGGCGTATAAAATAAAGTATCCTGAGAATTTCTTCTTACTCAGAGGCAACCACGAGTGTGCTAGTATCAACAGGATTTATGGTTTTTATGATGAATGTAGGAAAAAGGGGGGGAGGGATGCTCACTACAGAAACATCATCATTTGAGCATCATCCGTATATTATCGCATCACCTTGGGGAATTACTACTTCTATCACACAGATGGGATGATCGCATGCTTCGCAGCTACAGTAAAATGGACAGTAGTCTAACAGCGCGGTCCGTTTGGAAGACATTTGGCGTTGTTGGTAGCGAGAATTAAAGTTAGTGTTAATCTAAGCCTAGGGTTGATCGCTTCCTTAATGCGTAATCATCCGTAGAGTTGAACTCAGTCGTTTACTGGGTTGGTCGCACGTTCGAATCCTGCTGCTGTTATTATTATTACCATTTCTCAAGTATTGGTGTTATATCTCAGGTAAACGCAGATACAACATCAAGCTATGGAAGACCTTCACCGATTGCTTCAACTGTTTGCCGGTAGCTGCTATAGTAGATGAGAAAATATTCTGCATGCATGGTAATACTAGGAGACGCCGTAGGCTGGCCCTTGAGTCTACGATAATGGGGATCGCATCTCGTGTATGCTTATGGTCGGTCTGGGCGGATATGGAATATCGCGTTGCTTTTGTGCTTTTAATCGGCGAATATTGAGGAAGTAGTTGTAGTATAGTTCGAAGTCGCTCGCTGATGCTCACCATTTGACAATTATTTTATCATTATATTGTACCGTTATTATATTCATTGGAGTTCACCACCCTAGTGATATGAAAAACACTAGTGAAAAATCTATTTCACGACTACTGCATATCGCCAGTATCGCGTTTTTCACAGAGTACTACGCCACTTCACGTAAAACGGGTTATACTCATTATATTCTACCGTTATAGATTATAGTTTATTTTTATCTTATACCGTTATCAACATCCCAAATGTTGTCAGGGGGTCTCTCGCCCGAGCTCAACTCCATGGATCAGATCAAACGGATACTGCGCCCAACAGATGTTCCTGACACCGGTAATGCTGTTGGTGACGTTGATGTGATGATGATGATGAGTATCATTAGGCTTGCTGTGTGATCTACTGTGGTCGGATCCAGAACAAGACATAAGTGGATGGGGCGAGAACGATCGGTAGTGGGCACAGACCGCTGGCGGCTGGTTATTGAGCTTCTATACAGAGGAGTGTCGTTCACTTTTGGCGCGGATATTGTACAAGCTTGCCTGAGGAAACACGACTTGGATCTCATCTGTCGGGCACATCAGGTAGAATATGGCTGGGGTAGTAGGTTGATGGTCGTATTATGGTGTAGGTTGTGGAGGATGGTTATGAGTTCTTCGCCAAGAGGCAGTTGGTAACGCTGTTTTCTGCTCCTAATTACTGTGGCGAATTCGATAATGCTGGCGCAATGATGAGTGTTGACGAGACCCTCATGTGCAGCTTCCAGGTAGTAGTAGTAGTAGTAGTAGTAGTAGTGGTGGTGCTTGAAAGGATAATAGAGTTGGTGATGGTGGTCGCAGTAGGTGGCGTGTTGCGATGAATGGAATAATGAGGAGGATTGTGACAGGTGCTGAAACCGGTAGAGAAAAAGAAGAAGTAAAGGCAGTGGGGTATGCTATGTGTGGGAGGTTCTCATATTACAAGGTGACCATGACCATCATCATTAAACTGTCCTGGATGCTTCTATCATATGCTATGCGGCAGGCTAGTATCATCATCATCGTCATCATGGACATACCTCCCGGCTTTTGTTCCTCACTTTCCATATTCTCTAGCAATCATCTGTACCTTTCATTATCATGCCGTCGTCATCATCATCATCGTCGAGTCTGTGTTGATCTTATCATTTGATCATGTAATCGATCGTTTGGGCGGGCACAAAGTCTCCAACATTCTACCGGAGGCGCTGGCAACTTTTGTGGCGCGCGACGATCCTAGTCCTAATGCGCTGGCTGGATTACCTATCTCCTGTTTTATACTTGTGTAAACGACGTCGACTGGTGGTTGACATTATGATGGTGTTAGTGGGTTGTTGTAGTGATGGTAGCTGTAGTCAGCGGCAGCGTTCGTCTTCATCATCATTATTGCATACTATTCTCACATTCTCGCACGATATTTGGTGATAATAGTAATAATAGCCATAACGACGGCAGTACCATCATCCATTGTACTGGCTTACTGAGCTCTTGAGTTCAACACAAGAGTAATTCAAGTCAATTCAATTGTCCGAGACACTAGGGAAGGGAGTCGAGACTAAAAATAAATGAAGGTGACGAAATAAAAATTGATTGAGATAAAAAGTGACGGCAGCCAGCCGTTCGGGGATACATACCTTGAGAAAACGACTCGCAAATCCTGATACCCTTGGAGTGCATGAATGGGAAGCATCGCTATTCGATGACGCTGTACAAGTCCGTGATTCCACGGCGTCGGGAATCGGCGGCTACGACATTTCCTTGTAGAATTCTCATCATGGAATCCGTGACAATGAATTGATGTAATGGGAATGATTCACGACGCGCACATTCAACCAACTGTATAAGTTGGTTACCAACTTCTCTCGAGAAAAATATAATTGACGTGACGGGTGACGGCTTTATGACATCATAGGAGGCTGGGTTAGCATCCAGTCGGTGGGCAGGACCCCTACTGCTGTCATGATGAGGTTCGGGCGGGGTACTCGAGGAGCTACTATGAGACCACTGATGTACGTAGCCTCTGGTCAATAACATCATCATCATCATCATCATCACCATCATCATCATCATCATCATCATTAACGTGACCACCAGTGGTCATGTTTATGATGATGACGATTTGGCTCTTAGCCACTCAATGAGGCTAATTTCTAAGGTGAAAGACTCGCCAGCTCTCAAGTTAATCCGCTAGGCAAATATCCGGGACGAAGGATCATCACAGAGCGTCGACTCAACAACGTTGAGGCATCCAAGACCTTCCATCGGACTGGTCATGATAAGATGAGGACGCGTGGGAGCACGTCAACGTTATGACCTCAAGGGACGGCGCACTGACAGAAGACGAGACGTACGCTGGCTGATCTAGCAGCCACCGCTGAGAAGCTCATCGTTTATATTTTCTGTTGAGTATGGCCAATTCAGTTGTTATTGGGTACCATGTATTTGCCAGAGCAGCACATGTAATGTTATAATTATTATCATGCGCACAACCCCCCTTGCGTTCGAAGTCACTTGAACAACGCAATGCCAAGAATACTCAGCCAAAAAATCTCCCCGCGAATTCAGCGATACCGGATTGTGTGCTTATGTTTTGAACACGACTTTTCAGCTGAGATCCGATGCTCACAGCAGTGCCAGTCTGAAAGGACGCAAGCAGTGATTGGCAATACCACGAGCGATGCTACCTGGCTCTCTGATGTTGATGATGACGATGACGGCTGCGGTTGAGGTGGTGGTGGTTCCCTCCCTATAGCTGATGAGGGCCCGGTCGATAATGCTCCAATACGCTCCGTCAAACGTTCTATTTGTTCAATGAGCTCAGTCTCTCGACTCTGAGCTCGGGCACGCTGACGATTGAAGATCTCGAGAATAACCTGAGGGGCGTGTGCGAAACCATCAAGTATCGGCCCAGGGTACTTTAGGATCATCGGAACCTTCGGCCAATGAAAGTTCTTCCTCCTCCTCGTCGTGCAGCGGTCGACCAGCAAAACTTCCCTCTGGGCCGCCTTCGGTCATTACTTGCATCAATTGAGATGAGAGGGCGGTGTTGGAGCCTACGAACATGCCAATAGGGAGCCTGATGAGGCCACTACCATTCTGTGTTGGAAAATATGCATATGTGTTGGTGACAATACAGAAGTTTCGAAGAAATTTTGCGAAATTCCTGTTGGTTTCTGTTCACTTCTATCCGGATTGGTGATTTTTAGTGAGGAAACTCCTGAGCTCAGTTGAGGAAAGCAAACACATGTTCTTCCAACACTGCCATCACTTCGTAATCTGTTCATCTCTTGCTCAAGATCGGTATTGCGTCGTTTTATCTCTTCATTTTCGACCCTCACAGCCTCCGCATCCGCAGAGAGTACAGCCATTCGCTGATTGTCGGCTCGTAGGGCGGCCACTTCTTGCAATAGATTGTCAACACGATCAACGTGAATCTGCCGATGCCACTGCTGCCCAAGTCAAGAGTGTCAACAACGTACCTTATCCTTGGTAGCTAGCACTTGCCGCATGGCCTCGATCTCTTCCGTCAAGTCGGTAACTGAGTGATGACACAATTGGAAGGGTCGCTGAATGAAGACGAGGAATCACGACGACCTGAGTCCCTCAGCCGATCAGCCTCCTTTTGCACACTTTGTAAATACTGCCGCAAGCTGAGCTGAAGGAGGCAGCGCTCACATACCGAACACAGCTTTTGCTCACTTACGTTTTCAGTTTGCAGGGCTTCCACCTGATTCCGATGGACCTACCAAACACTAAGTTGAGATTTGAGGTATTGGGAATTTGCGAGTACTGTTGTCGAGGCAGCCTCAGAAGTAGCATCCTTGAGAGCCTTCTCCCAGGCGTTCAGAGCTGCTACATGCTCATCTTCCTCTGCTCTTACGTGTGATGAACGAGCGGACGAGCGCATCGTAAGGCCTAGTGTCAGACGCCCAGCTCCACTGAACAACTCGACGCACGGTATAGAGGAAAAATTGTATGAAAAATCAGCAGTGTGGTATGGAGAAAACTTGAGAGTGTGGCGATTTAGAAGCAGCTTTCACACGGTAGTAGACAACAAAAATGAGATCACCGCAGTCGATGAGCTGAAGCTTCGACGACGCACTTGAGCGATTGGCAAGCAGGAAACGCACTGCGTACAATAAATTGCGACCAACTGTATGGAAGTAGACGGATACAAACTCAATGATGATATAGTATAAGACCTCTCAAGTTCGACATATTCAGACCTGTGAAGATTGATAACCGGATACTCGACCTTGTTAGCAGAGGATAGAACCCATGGTCGGGAAGGTGTTGAGGACTCTCGATCGGCAGTGAACATACTCGAGGCGAGCACAAAGGAAATGTCGGGCTGCCAGCAAAGTCGCTGGTGAACGCGTCCGAGTAGGTTAATATCCAGGAACGAGGATGCTCTCGAGGTGAGTCTCAATTTGCTCTTTATCATGGCTGAACGTCATCACTCCTCACAGGCGTGATATAGGGCTCATCACACAGTATCTCACCTATAGTATCCATGACCGTGCAACGGTTACAAAGAGACCTGAGTAGAACAGACCGACTCCCGCGAATGAACAACATCTGGTGATCGAGTCAGTCGCCCCTCCGGGACCTCGAGGACCCAGGCGGGGCCAGCCTAGCTCAGAGTCCAGCAAGCACTGACCACTGAGGGTATTCTCGAACAAGGGTCCCTCATTGAGACCGTCACTAATGAGCCGTAACGATGTTCCCAGCCGCTAGAAAGCTGCTTTGAGAAGTACATGTAGGTCACGAGAAATGGAGATTCATTGCCGCTAACTGGCAGCGACGATGCTAACGATGCTGATGATGCTGATGATGCTGATGCTGGACGGGAGTGGTAGGGTTGTCGTTAACTGAGCTCATGGTCAATCCAGTGTGCAGCACAACACAAAAGCTAACAGTGGCAATGAAAAGCAGTCTAGTTATGATAACGAATAAAAATCGTAAAGGATGATAAACCAATGCCTATCATTGCCCTATAGTTTAACGTTAGGCGTTTCGAGATTTTGCGGATCAGATTGGATCTGAGCACTATCTATGTCCTCTCTGCAAGCCAGGCTATCGTCTTCTGGGGTGTGAATCGGCGGGCAGCCTCGTGGCCACCAATTGGCCTTACCAAAAAATGATACAAGTGAAGGTGTCACAACACCCTGCATGAAGAAAGCATCCAGAATAATGGCTGTTACCAATATGAAGCCGGTCTGATTGACCATAGGAGTTGACGAGAAGAGAAGACCACAAAAAGTTATAGTCATGATACAGCCGGCTAGTGCAACCACTTTACCAGCTTTCCACACACCGATAATGACAGAAGTCTTGTCCGATGCACCACGGTCGTGTTCTTCGACTATTCTACCCAATAGGAAGACATCATAGTCCAGACTGAGCCCAAGGACGACAGAGAAGGCCAAAGGAAGGGCAATCCATGACAGACCATCTGTTGACGACTCTGACGCCACTGCGGGCCAATGAAGGAACTCCAACCAACCATTCAAGTACACCCCTGCCGCAAAGCCGAATGAGAAGACCAAAGTGACAGCGATGGTGATTACTCCACGAACTGCAATAAGCAACGAACGATAGACAATACCAACCAAGACGAGACAAACAGCGATCGTGGCAGCTGCGAACGCTGGCAGACTTTCCACTACAGCAGACATAGAATCGTGTGATGAAACTGATATGCCTGTGAGCCAGACTATGAGCTCCCCATCGCTCTCTTTGACAACAGTATGAATAACATCGCGGAGACTCTCAGTGAAGCTGGACGCTTGGAGTGAAGTTGGAGCATCGTCGACTATGAGGGTGACTTTCAACGCGTTCCGACCAGGGCTCATAGACTTCTTCAAGCCTTCCTGGTACTGCTTACAGCGGGGATCAGTACATGAGGGCGAGACCAGAAGTTTAGCAAGGTTGAAGTCAATCTCTGTCGCGGGCATTCCCGGTTCTTTCAAATACATCGAGCCCAATAGAGATCCCTTAGGGTGCTGCTTCATTAACTTCTGGTCGATCGTCCGGCACAGGTTCAACCCCGCCGTCCAGAACTTCTCCGTTAATATGTCACCACCAGGGGCCTCAAAGACCATGTTGAACGGACCGCTCATTCCTGGTGTGAATGCCATCGAGATTCTTTCCGAAGTCTTCCCAACACGAGAGTCCCTTGGACTAGCCGTAGAGATATTGGATGTGATCGTGAGGGAAGAGCACGCCCACCCAAATACCGCTATCAGGGTAACCAACAGAATGATAGATGCAACTGCGGCCCAACGGGATGTCATAAGCTTACCCCACTTATACCAGAAACCAGGGCCACTTCGACGACGACGACCGCGAGGGGACTGACCCTCTGAGCGATCATCACGACGACGACAACGACACCACGACCAACAACGACAACAGCTCTTGCCACCAAAGTGACCAAAGAACTTTGGAAAGGTCACGATCAGTGTTGGGGTCACTGAGAGGTTAACTGATACTGCACAGAGAGCTGATATCAGGAGGGCTAGACCGATACTTCTAAAGAGGGCTATGGGTATGATCATAAGCCAGACAAAACATACGAACAGAATGCTGCCTGAGCTGAAGACCACATGGCCACTGTGTTCGAGCATCTCCTTGCATGCATCGTATGGCGACCTTTGATGCACTCCGGTGACCTCCTCTCTAAACCTCGTTAGGAGGATGAGAGAATAGTCGACACACAAGGCCATGAGGAGAAAGAACATCATTATCGGAGCACCTGTGTTGACGGGCATTAACAGTGATAATAAATACAGGCAAGCTCCACAGATGGCAATCGACAGAAGCAAACATATCAATGGTAGAAGTAATAGCCGCCATGATCTCAAGGAGTATGCTAAAAGGAGGAAGGCGAGAGGCAACACAACAGCGTGTGTTATACCCAGTTCGAGCTCTGTGACTTTCGCCGACTCATCGCCCAAAGCCCCTATACCCGCCCAACCAACAAAGAGGCCAAGGTGGCCATAGCTCCCACGTACAGCGTCGGCTACAGCTTCCTCAAGAGGTGCGACACTGACCAAACCAATGTCAAAAGCAACCGTGAAGATCGTTGTTCTGTTGTCAGCCGAGAGATACAGGATCGTAGGCTCCCCCGACTGCTGAGCTTGCAAATAGTCGTCAATTTGAACCTTCGTGTTGGCTGGGAAGGCATGGCGTACCGTCTCAGTTACATTATGCAACAGACCGTTAGTGAAAAGGTCACCTGGGCGACCTCCATCAAGCGATACTAAAAGGACCTCGGGAGAACCAAATTGTTGTTGCGGGAAGAGGGCCGAAGTCCTCTGAGTGGCGGCGTATGACGGCGAGCCAGCTGGAGAATCGAGGGCGCTGGTCATGTGGTCGAACATATGAGTAACACCGACAACGCCCAAGCCGAACAGGACCAACCACATAGGTATGAGCACATATCTTGACAGATGTAAAAGTTGCAAGTATTTCCCAACGAACACTGCATGTTGTTTGATGGGATTAATACAGGAGCTTTTCATTTGGTTGCAGAAGCAACAAAAATACTGATGATAACTATTACCGCTGTATTGACGAGCCACTCTAAAGCCAACGCGATATCAGTGACACTCATGACTTTAATTTTCTAATCATCTCCTGTATGCAACGACACCTCTACCACTTCCTGAGCAAACTTATGAACTCCCCCGTCACCTGGGTCGTCAAATCACTTGAAGCTATCTCTGGCGGTTGCACATTGCTGTCGGGGACCCGTATGACACCGAGAACGCGAAGGGTATGGAAGCCAACAGGGAGTATCACAGACTGTGATTCACAGTCATCTCGAAAAGTCAACGTATGCAATACCACACAAAAGACACTGAGCAGTTGGACTGCAGGATAGTACTAATCATTCCTCCACCCAAGGATAGCCGTCCCTAAGAGGCTCGAGAGGGTCGATGCGATGGGTGAGAAAGATGCCAACATTGCCGTCGATCCTCCACCACATTGGCGATCACAGTTGCACGCGGGACGGCACGCAAACGCACAACAGCACGCAAGTTCTTTATGTAGACCTTGTAACTTGCTGACTTGATCGCTTGACATTCCCTTAGACTTAGGATGCAGTTCTAATCTCGTTCGCCCTGTAGCGTAATCGATTGGTGCGTCACACCACCAAGTGGGCGTCACGCTTTGTGGTTCCTTACGGCATTGCTTGTGGTTCCTCACGGAATTACCTTGCTTACGAGCTTTGGTGTACTGTACTTAGTCGACCTTCGGACTAACGTACTGTCGAGTTCACTAGTAATAGCAGAACGATCTTGGTCACTGTAGTTCTCCTCTCGACGGACTACATTTGCTGCCCCACGTTTGGGCTGCGTTGAGTCGTACTTCTGACGAAGAGGCATGCCAGAAGACGCGTTATTCGTCGTAGCGTTAAGGGCAGACAAGAGGGCATATCAGAGGGTTACGGTGAATACTTATGAACAGCTCAGCATGTCGGGTTGAACGAGTGCGGATGATTCAAGAACTCGCAGGGTTTAGTGAACTGGTGCGGCGCTTAATACGTCATGTTGGCGAGACCGATCCTTGGGAAGCGCAGGTCTAATTCCGGTAGATTGCTATTGCAGTTAATGTGTCATACTGACAGTCATAAGATCCCAGGATCGATTCCTGGTGGCCGATCTTCTCTGCTCCCACCTCGTAAGCCAAGGCTTAGACCAGAGGCCGACCAGGCTAACATTCCTCAGGCTTCTTCCCACAGGATCTGTAGTGGTGATTCCTGGGTGCCATAAGAAGCAACTCCATAGCACTCCTTCCTCGAGGATCTTACGCTCCTTCCTCAAGGAAAGCTTCTTAAGCTATAGGGCCAATGTTGGGTTAACGAGTTACTCCGTGTGGACCTTCACGTCAACCGTCACGCGCCACAGAATCTCTTCCTCCTGACCCCCCTCGCCCCTAGCAGCCGCATACCCGAGGATCCCCAACATCGGACCGTACACCGAATATTGTACTGTTGCTGTTGCTGCTGCTGCCGAGGAGGATAAAGGACAAGCCCTCTTGCTGACAGGGGAAGTGCCCTCCTGCTCAGACTCAGAACCCTCTCCTTCGGGTTCGGAGGAATTCGAATCAAACGATGGCAATGGATATAATGCATCTGATTGAAAATGAATATCTCACCCTCGATAGTGACCCTCAGAGCAAAGCAGCCTCGAGTCATAATAAAGACGGGGGCCCTCTAACAGTGACGAGGAAGCCATCACAACCAAATCCATGAGAATCAAATCCAAATCAGGGTCGAGGGCGCAGTAGTAGTAGGGGCGGGTGGACGGACACCACACGGTCGAACAATTGGACTCCCAGCCTTTGGACCAAATCGATCCTCCCTCCCTGGAACCACAATACCATGCAAGCGGATGAGAAAAAACAGTAATACGTCATACAACTCCACTTCCGATATCCCTACAGAGCCTACAACACTCACCTGGCCCATTACCACGACCAAAGCTGATGGTCCCATTGACCATTGTATGGGGACCAACAGCTAGCGAGGACCCTTCCTTCGACTAGTATAACACAACATGCTTGTGCCATCTTATTGGATCTCGTACATCGCGGGAAGTAATAATCAGGAACACCGACTACACCCTAGGCCGACAGTGGCTATAATGACGATAACAGCAGCAGGCATGAGCAACAGAAGCACAGTATCACTACAGAGACAAGCAATGATAATAAGAGTGAGAAGAGGAAGTAGTAGGACTCAGGCAAGCGAGAGAATAGTGACAACGCTTCTTCTGCTGTTTGCTACCGACGATACTATCATCAGAGTCAACAACAGCAGCACATGGTGCCTACATAGGTTACCGCTCTGATAGGGTCAGCCACCTCTAATAGATAGGTTGAATCACACTGAGCAGAAACAAGGGCACAACTGATGACGACCACAGAATGGCGGTCACGACGAGTATGACAAGCGAGGTTATGATAATACTATGCTTATTTCTACTGCTTAGACTAGACAAGAATACAACCTCATTACGTTGAGCCATAAAGCGAAGTACCTTCGTCAGTAGCTTGTATAGACTACATGCCACAGGGAAGGTTAAGCCACTTTATGACTAATAACAATCAAGCAAGCTGTCGGTGACACCAATGGTGACACGACGTTATGGTATAACTCGTCTAAGAAGGATGATGTCGCCTTATATGGTGTGTTTGTAGAGAGCCATCCCATGGGACACGGATGGCACCGAGAATAGTAACAACAAGGATATTAGCAACAGCAGGTGGCGGCGATAATGATGGAACGGCCTTGTGTGGAGCAATGGAGAACCGATACAAGCAAGCGAAGAATGACCATAGACCTCATGGGCCCAATACTGATGATGATGATAGTCCTAGTAGACAATACGTTGATGATGATGATGACCTCCTAGACGGTAAGTGAACTGATCATTCGGCATCCATAGCTCTAACACTATTGCTTATCATGATGTTGTAAGACTCGGCGAACTTGACGGAAGAGAGAGATTAACGTTGACTGGACAGATGAAGGAATAAGTGTGAAGCTCCACAAAGGGAGATCATAGACAGGGCTCATTAGAGATATGTACCCAATACTAAATAGTGAGCTATGCCGATATAAAGGGACGTGACTATGGACGATAGGACGACCATCAGTTAGCATCAGCAACATGCTGTTGTTGAAGGGCTCTAGGAGTAGCGAGCTGGGCAACACTGACAGACGAGGTCCGTTGTCTTTGCTCGCGTTCCTCGACTTCCTTCATGTGCTGGAAATTCTCATCCATCACTTCAACTCTGTCATGGAGACCAACCAAAAGGCCGTCCAACGTGTTCCACAACGGACTCACGACGAAGCTTATGAAGCCCACCTGCAACTTAGCTAGCTCCAAAGTATCATCAGGACGGTGCGCCATAAAGGGCGCAAAGGGGAGGCCCTCCATCCTTTCAGCCTCTGCTTGATGATAATACTCAGACACCACACGATAGCTCCACTCATAGTACTCATCATAGGGCATAAGGGGGTTGGATATGTCGGCAGCATGCACGATACCCTGGAGCAGTGTGGGCCTAGTTTCAGCCAAGGCCCCGTCTATCCACTCTCCTGGTGCTCGAACACGAGTCGCCCCTGCCGTTTTGGAGCCCTCCTTGCAGTCTAAGAGTAACTCCTGCAGTTTGATAGTAATGTCAAAGTGAACTTTCATGTCCGTGGCCAGTATAACCGAGATAACAGTCTGACGGAAAATCTCATAGTCACTAGGCTCGCCAGGCTCATCTGCGGCTGGCCAGGTCGAAGTAAAGTCAACAGCACCACCCAGAAGGAGCTCGAACGTCCTAGCAGCGTGCATGTTCTCCAACACAGCAGTGTCGTTGTAGCGCACAGCCAAGTGCCTCCTCCCTTTGATGAAGTAATCATTGTTGAAGCCTGGGTGGTTCACATCATGGCACAGTGCTCCTATAAGAAGACTAAACTCCTCTAGAGGCGTACAGATAACGTCACGCGCCCCAGCAGGCCCCGGACGTACTGAGCATCCAGCCCTGTACATAACATAGCCCACGCAGCTCATAACCTGATAGGCGTGGTAGAAATTGTGGTAAGGGTTGTCCGAATGATAATCGTTGGCGATGAGATTAATGAACCCCCACAATCTCGATGGCTCCACCAATTTACCCTCTCCCACAAAATTCCACCTCTCGAACACACTGTAGGCTCGCCTGACCAACTCCGAATGGTCCAAACTGAAGAGCTTGGTCTCCCAACTGAGCAATTCCGGTAGCTGCAGAGTATCCATCTTGGGAAGCTGCTCCAATATTCTAGAAGTAAATCTAGCCTCATCGTAAGCCACAGAGTCACTAGCCCTTCTTGAGGAGGAGCTGACCGAGCCCCTCCCAGTGCTTGTGCTGTCCCTGCCACCCCCCATACCATCCCTCATCCACTGCTGGACGAAGGCATACACACTCGGGTTCTCCTTCTCCAGCTGTCTCGATACTCGCCGCAATATGATGCTCCTTATGGCCGTACTGGTGAGGTCGTGGCTCCAACGATGGGACACTTGCCTGGACACGCTCAACTGTGGGGAGGGTGGGACAAGGTCTTGTCCCTTTTCCTCCTCATAGGCATCATCATGACGCATAATCTCGCCAGCTTGAATACTACGACGTCGGCTTGCCCTCCGACCCTTCGGGAAGTAAACATAAACCTCGTCATCATCACCATCCTCATCACAGTCCCCTGCGCGCCTCGTAGTGAGGTTAGTTCTAATGTACTCACACATGAACCGAGCCGGATCCCGAGGGGTGTGGATGCCAAGCTCAATGAGCATCATAGTGAGGAAGTTCTCGAGGTCATAACGTCTAAAGTAGGCCAACACGTCCTTAGCACAGACCTTATGACCGTTGAGGCCCTCCTCAGCCGCTGCAGCAGCACATGCCGCCACAACCTCAGCTGTTGAGGGCGAACTCGGGGCACCAGTATGACCCGTTGATGAATGGTGATGGTGGACCCTTGAGGGCCTACCTTCAGCATCCGGCCTGGGCATCTGGACCAGAGGCGAGCTGCTCGGAGGGGCATCAGTCACAGCCCATGGTGATTTCATCAACCGCTCAGCATCATCTTCTACCACTCGTTCTTCATCTTCATAGTTTCCCGTAGTTCGAAGTTGGCACATGTGAGGAGTAGTGAGCTAATGCTTACGTACAGAACTAAAATCAACTTCACAGCAATAAGGGCCCTCCTACCCAACGCAGCTCAAGCTCTACTAGAGACTAGAGGCATGATGAATGGCGACCCAGCATGAGGCAAACATAGCTGGAATAAGGGGAGCCTTGGACTACTATTGTTGCTGCTTGTGCCCTTAACACTGCTGGGCCATTGACACACCCATATTACTACTCGCTTGTTGTGTCTGTCGCACGTGGGCATCTGATGATTATGGCGATGATGCTAGTAATGAACTAATAATAAACTTCGAACGAACTAACTCCACTAGGAGCAGTAGCAGCACAGAGGGTCCACTATTGACGAGTAACTCGTCTTCTCCGCAGAAGGATTCCCACCAAATGAGGGCCACCACACTCACTCCTCCCCGCTCTGTTGTTACCTCCTTGCCAGATTCTAGGCTTGCACGGTCTGTTCGTAACCGACACTCGTCACCGCGCCACAAGACGTATAGGGAGACTAAATGGCCCTGAAGTAGGATCCTCAAGGGTGCATGGATGGAAGCAGACAACGGTAGTAGTTCCCCAAGCTACTACCTGTAAGCCCCTTGGGCAGGCGTCAATGACGTTAGCTCCGGGCAAAGGGCGAGGACATCAGCCTTCGAGTAATAACAAAAACCAGAGCTATGCAAGTGCGGCGAGAATAATGATAAAATACCCCAACCGTACAACCCGATTAATCCCGAAATACTCAAACACGACGCATATCAGGCGTAAGAAAATGAGTAATTTCGTGGCGCGCGGTCAAACAGGCATATCCTAACAGGCGATGGGCTCACCAAACCGCATCGTCTTTCTCAGTCTGTCACTACCCTTGGTATTTTGACATTTTCTTCCTATCCAGTTATTCTCAAATCTACACAGAGCACCCGTCTGCAGCAGACCGCCTCCTCGACATCATCAAATGCTTCTCCCTATCAAGGCTACAGCAGTTCCACTCTATCTTCAACGGTCTACTAAACTCAAACCAGATACAGAAAATGTTAACCGCGCACGCCATTCTAATCGATAGTCAATTTTGTTAGACATCGTATATGTCGATATTAATGTGAATTTATAATGTCGTATACCAGTGTGGATCGGCTAAGTCGTGTTGTGCCTGCGTACATATGGTTCTTGCTGTACCGCATGGTCGACGCGCTGTTGATAAGCACTTACAGCAGTGCTGATGAGTATTGGCAGTCCATAGAGGTTTCCCATTACCTCGTCTTTGGCAAGGGTTATCTTACTTGGGAATGGCGTCCTGAGGTGGCCTTAAGATCCTCTTTGATGCCGCTCCTGTACGTGCCTTACTATGGCCTGTTGAGGGTCATGGGACTGGACACTCGTTGGACGATAGCCTATGGCCCTAGGGTATTCGTACAGGCCCCCTTAGTAGCATTAGCTGACCTTGGATTTACTCGGGTCTCCTCAGTACTACTAGAACCGGCCCTAGCTCGGACGGCTGTGGCCCTGTGGTTGAGTAACTGGTTCATATTGTCGATGGTCACGAGGACCTTTGCCAACAGCGTTGAGACAGCCCTCTACTGTATTATAGTGTACGCCCTTCTTCAGTGGACCATACGGCCTGGGAGGTATTATTACCTCCTCGTCTCCACGGTACTGTCAGCAGCGTCAGTGCTTATACGCCCTACTAGTGCTACCTCCTTAGCGCCCCTCTTAGCATACAACTGCTTGTATGTACTGTCCCACACTAGGCAGTGGTGGCTGCTACCCGTGTGTGTTGTCGTTGGCCTTGGGACTATGGTCGTCATTGGGCACCTCGACAGTCTATTGCTCTATGGTGGCAGCATACGAGGAGCATTCACATGGTTAAACTTTGCCGAATTCAATTTCATCAACGACTTTGGGAAGCTGTATGGTGACGACCACTCCTGGCTGTGGTAAGGTCAACTCCCCGTCAACTTCCTACTGATCCTTTCTCCTCAGGTACTTCATCATTGGCATCCCATTGCTACTACTGAACCATATAGTACCTTTCTTACAGTCGCTATGGAAGGGTACTTACCACCTCCGTAGTGGGAATAAGCACTTCACTGTGTCCTTGCTCATCTCCTGCTTGGTCTCACTCCTCGTACTCTCCTTGGCTACTCATAAGGAGCTACGGTTTATCATGCCGATGGTACCAGTACTGTGTCTAGTGCTAGCCCCGGCGGTTGGGCCCATCAGGGGTGGTATGCGAGGTGTAGTGTGGAAAGTATGGCCGCATTTGTTAGTGGCACTTGTCGCGATGAGATGGCATCAGTATGGTCCTGATAGGGTCATGTCGTCGCTCTCTAGAGGGGCCACCCCAGGGGATAGTGTAAGGTTCCTAACGCCTTGCCACGCGACGCCGTTCACAACGCATGTACATGGTACTGGAATAGTGGCGATGGATATACTCGACTGTTCGCCGCCATTAAAAGAGCTGGCTGCCGGGATTGAACCTGGGTTGAATGAGCGTGATGCCTTCTTTGCGGATCCTCAGGCTTATGTAGAGAGCAAGACGAAGGGCTATGACTGGTTGGTGGTGTGGGGTGGCGCTGTTCGTCGGGAGGACAATGGGCTGGCCAAATGGTTGAAGGACTATGGAAGATATGATTTGGTGGAGAGCATAGGTGATGGGCTACTCAATGATGGGCCCTATGGCTTCGAGATGTGGCCGACATTTGACTTATATCATCATCATCAGTAGTAGTGGAGAGATTCTTGTTGTGTACTTACCTGGCGTATGTGTATGGTGAAGAGCAGTGTGATGTGAGTATAGTATTTGACGCCTTAGTATGCTACCTCCACTGAGCCTGCTGCCTAGGTTGGTAATGGGTACTGTGCTGAGCTATGGTGTGAGTTGCCCTACTATGGTGATGTGGCCACTCCTCTTTGTGTCAGGTGATGGTGCTGGAAGCCTTGGTTGAGAAGCCCACCGGGTCATCAAGCTGATGTTTACCGTGGCCTCATACTGCAGGTTGGGTAGAGAGTGTTTGGTACTGGATCTGGCTGACCACAACGCTATGGACGAGCCGCCCCTGGCTGATATCATTGCTATAACGGACAGCTTTGTCTCTTCTGCCTGTGTTCATCCTCGCCTCCTCCTAGGTGTCATTAAGTGAGGAGGAGCATTGTTTGAAACTGGGGTGCGAGCGGGCACGGGAAGACGGTGGCGCTTCTCATCCCGGTTCCTGCGTGTTTACAATGCCAGCGTGTAAGCTGCAGACTGATGGTGTTTCTACTGAGCAGTTGGTCTGGTCTTATTGGTGCGGGGTGGGTGACTTTGCATTATCGTAAGTATCAGTTGCTCTCATGGCGATCTCGACAGAACCAGCGAATAAGAAAGTCAAGGTCATGTCCGGGCAAGTAGATGACCAGCTGGCTATTGACACTATTAGGTGGGCTGATGATGTGCTCAGGGAGTGGTATGGTGTTGGTTTCAGAACAATAGCAGCTGATATGGTCCAAAAGGCCAAGTCGGGCCATCCGGGCGCCCCAATGGGGTGTGCCCCGATGGGCCACGCCCTTTATACTCACGTTATGAGGTATAACGCTGCTAACCCTCACTGGTGGAACAGAGATCGATTTGTTTTGTCCAACGGTCATGCCTGTGCCCTGCAGTATGTGCTTATGCATCTCGCTGGTTACAAGGATGTTGGTCTTGAAGACCTTAAGAATTTCCGTCAGTTGGGCTCGAGGACGGCAGGGCATCCTGAGCGTGACCTGCTGGAAGGTGTGGAGGTCAGTACTGGCCCTCTTGGGCAGGGCATCTGTAATGCTGTTGGCCTTGCTATTGCTGGGGCCCATCTTGCGGCTACCTACAACCAAGATGGATATGAGCTCTTCAGCAATTACACTTATGTTATTTGTGGTGACGGTTGCCTTGAGGAAGGGGTCAGCTCGGAGGCTTGTGCCCTTGCGGGCCATCTTGGGCTTGGGCATCTCATCGTGCTTTATGACGATAATAAGATTACTATTGACGGTAGTACTGACCTTGCATTTACTGAGGATGTTAGTAAAAGGTTTGAGGGTATGCATTGGCAGGTCTTGGAGGTGGCCCGAGGGGATAGCGATGTGGCTGATATAATAGCAAAGGTTGAGGAAGCTAAGAAGTGTACTGATAAACCTACTATCATCAAGGTGCATACGACTATAGGGTACGGCTCGGCAAAGCAGGGCACTGCTAAGGTCCATGGGGCCCCTTTGGGTGACGAGGACCTGGCCAGTGTTAAGAAGAAGTTTGGTTTCGATCCTGAGAAGTTCTTTGAGATCCCCACTGAGGTGAGGAGTCTTTATAAGGATGCTCTGGCTCGTGGTCAACAGGCCAATAAGGAGTGGGATGCCCTCTTTGTCGAGTATGGTAAGGCCTTTCCTAGGGAGCATGCCGAGTTGACCAGGCGTGCTAAAGGTGCTCTCCCTCATGAACTGGAGAGCTTCCTCCCGAAGTACCAGCCTGGTGATAAGGCGAAGGCTACTCGTGTGACCAGTGGGGAGGTCCTTGCTGCCCTTATGGAGCACCTGCCTGAAGTCGTCGGAGGTTCGGCAGACCTTACAGCTTCTAATATGACTAATATGGGCAACGTGCCCATCATGCAAAAGGACGCTATGCAGAATCGTTATATCGAGTTTGGGGTCCGCGAGCATGGTATGGCTGCTATCCTCAATGGTATGCACGCCTATGGTGGTTTCCTGCCCTTTGGGGCCACCTTTGTCAACTTCATCGGGTACTGTTGGGGGGCTATGAGGCTCTCTTGCCTCTCGGAGCAGCAAGTACTGTATGTGATGACCCACGACTCGATTGATCTCGGGGAGGATGGCCCTACTCATCAGCCTATTGAGGTCCTGCCCTTGCTGCGAGCAACTCCTAATATGAATACAATAAGACCATGTGATGGCCGAGAGACTGTGGGTGCCTACAAGTCTTATCTGGCCAATAGGACCGGTCCGACTACCCTTATCCTTAGCCGGTCTGGATTGCCTACCTTTGAACATTCCTCAGTTGAAGGGACTATGAAGGGTGCTTATGTTATTGATGATTTCACTGGGAAGGGCGACGGAAAGGTTATCATCATTGCTAGTGGCACGGAGGTCCTTCAGGCGGTAGAGGCTAAGAAGCTGCTATCACAGGAAGGCGAGGTTGATGTTCGGGTGGTTTCTATGCCCTCCTGGAATCTCTTCGAGAGGCAAAGCGACGAGTATAAGAAGAGTGTTTTCCCACAAGGTGTGAAACGGTTGATGGTTGAGGCCAGCAGCCCTCTGGGGTTCGAAAGGTATGCGGAGGGCTGGATCGCCATGGACACCTTTGGGGCATCTGGGCCTGCGAGTAAAGTGAAGGCTCAGTTTGGTTTTACGGCTGATAATATCTATATCAAGGCTAAGAGGCTTGCCGCCTCCTCCTCCTAGTCGTGAAGGTCGCATGCATATATCACAATCATCACGACTATTTCTATTGAATGTTAGTTTTCAGTGTAGAAGGTGGTCTTTGTTCGGTAGTAGGAGTTGGTGGATTTATGGTATAGTTCCACTTCTGCTGCTGTGCTCTTGTTGTTTTACTATGTGTACTGATACTACCTCCTCGGCAGCCACTGAATCCGTCTATGACCTCTTTGTCAACGACTCGACGCCTTGCGATGTTTGTGAGAAGCTAATCGCTTATCTAAGGGCAGTTTCTAGCAAGGTGAGTTGCAGTCGCCGAGAATTGAACCCGGGTCCTCGGAGGCAACCCAGTTTGATATATGTTACTCGCTGGCATCCGTCCTTACTACCCCTTCCGAGCCGCTTGGCATTGCCCTCTGAGTCAGGCCTCTCGTCCCTGTGGAACAATCATCCGAGCGACTACTAAGCCTGGTAGCTCAGCTCTCTCTGCTGCCTTTGCTCAACGACTACCTGTGTATGCTAGCCAGAATAGGGAGGATGCCTTTGAGGGGGCCCTCAAGGTAAGGCCTGATATCATGTAATGCGACTTGACGGTATGGCAGGCTCTAAAAGCAATCGCTGAGGACTCTGGTTTTGGCGCTCTTCTTATTCCGGAGGGCGGCGAGGCTTTGAAATGGGTTGAATGGTGCCTTAATGAGAGTGAGGGAGCCTTCAAGCTGAGTAAGGAGGGCGTGGAGAAGCTGGACAAGGCCCTTGAGGATAGGGTAAGCCTTATAGGCGGTAGGCTTGTTGTTGAGGGATGGATTGTATTGGTTTAGGTGTTCTTGCTTGGGGGCAGCAACATAACGCTTGCGGACTTCGTAGTTGCCCATGCGGCGGAGCGATGGGTTTCTAAGGCCTCTCAGAAGGAGCTCGCCCAGCACTGCAACATAACTAGGTGATAGCTACTCCTCCCACTTGCAATAGATTGTGGCCCATGGCTCCTGTGTTTAGATGGTATCATCATATAAGCACTCTGCCGGGCAGTCCTTACCCTGAGAGCGTTGTAGACCTCCATGCTGTGTCTAGGGCCTATACTAACCTTCATAAGGGAGATGCTGTTGTTGGTGGGGGCAAGGGGGGCAAGGGGTCTCCTAAGAAGGGTAGGTCCTTGAGGGTAGGGTAGAGGGAACCAAGAGGGTGTCGGTTTAGGAGGAGAGGCAACTGGTGAGGAAGCGGCTAAGAAGAAGGCTGAGAGGAAGGCCAAGAACAAGGAGAAACAGGCTAAGGCTCAGAAGGAGACTCGACCGGTGGAGGACGTGAGCCGATTGAATATGATTGTTGGTAAGAAATGCCCTGGGGGGGAATTGAACCTGGGGTCTACTGCTCGTGTGGTGTCAGGCAAGATCAACAAGGTATGGGAGCATCCCGATGCTGAGAAGTTGTGGTGTGAGGAGATCGACTGTGGCGAACCTTCTGGTGAGTGTGGGCTTCCTTATAACAAGACGCTTGACGTGCCCAGAGCGAGAGCGGCTTTCGGGCAGCAGACTCCTACAGCGCTCATTAGCTTGTGAAGAAGCCTTTCCCTGTAGAATCAGGAGGTTGGGCAAGGTCGTGTTGTGAGTTTACTGTGTGCGAATTTGCATTCTTCTCGCCCTGCTGTGTCATGTTTGTGTTCATCATCGTCATCAGGTCCTCGCCAAATCGCATCAGGTCTTCGTGACTTCTATAAGGAAGCATCGGACCTCGAGGGCCGTAAGGTTGTCATTCTTGCTAATCTTAAGCCGCGTCCTCTACGCGGATTCGTCTCCCATGGCATGGTCATGTGTGCATCTACGAATGACCATAGTCAGGTAGAAGTCCTGGACGTGCCCAAGGACGCTAAGCCTGGTGAGCCACCTTTCTGTGATAGTAGGGAGCTGTTCGGCTAAGGTGACCGCATCTCGATCCCTGGTTTCGATGGTGAGCCCGATGAAGTCCTCCATCCTAAACACAATCCCTTCGATGCGGTTAAGGGTAGGCTAATCTTGCTATCTTGCATTTCCTCAACGCAGTTGGTCAGGTGACTTGAAAACTGTTAAGAAGGAGGATGGTCTTATTGTGGCCACTTATAAGGTAGGTAACGGCAATATGGTGGTCGGGTAGTAGACGCTTTTTTCTCAGGGCAAGGCGTTCACCCTCCCTAGTGGTGAAGTCGTGACTGCTCCTGGCCTGGCTGATTGTGAGATCTCCTAAGCGTTGAGCTTGTCTATGGTGACGAGTGGCTGATCGAATTTACAAGATTCACAAACACTGTATCAGTAGTTGCTGCTCCTGCTGCTGCTGCCTATGGGGGAACGTAAACCTGGCAAGAGTTTCCTGGATTCAACCTCTCGCTTGTGTTCTTAATTAGCTCTCACGGTTGTGTCATGGTTGCGGTGTTGGAGCTGTGGTGGGCTCAGCAGGGAGGGTGTAGTTCTCAGCGTAGTTGGTACTCAGTCGTTGTGGTTGTCTATGGCTGATTCTGGGACGGAGGTAGTAGGCGGATCTCATGGTGAGGAGAGAGAGGGATACGAAGCAAAGGGTAGTTTATTAAGGGCTCTCAAGGGCCTGTTTATGCCCTTGTGTAGGCGCGGGTGAGGTTGTGAACCCTCTCTCGTCGGGATCTGGAGTAGAGTGCCCCTTCGGGTTTGGAGGTGGCAGCTCGGATAAGTGGGAGAAAATAGCTGCCCGACGGTCGGAGGCTGTCGATCCGAGAAATATGATGCCGAAGTTCAGTCAGGAAAAGGCCCCGGACCAGAGGGTCGACCTTAGCGTTGAGAGGGAGAAGAGTAGTACGAGGGGGGGTCTACAGGGGAGAGTCGATGGCTTAGGCTCAATTCCCAAGACAGGATCAGAGGGGACGTGGGTGTATCCCTCGCCGCAACAGTTTTATCACGCGTTACGGTAGTAGTACTAGGGAGGTTGTGGTTGGCATTGAGGATGTGTGTAGACGACGTAATAAGAGTGCTGAGGCCGACAGTATGGATGCGGTAGTGTATGTTCACAATAGGGTCAATGAGCGCACGTGGGAGGGCATACTTGAGTGGGAGAAGACACTACATCCGGATTGCCTCGAACCGTCGTTGCAACGGTAAGTCTGTCGGCTCCGTTCGTATATGGACATGGTCATCTACGGGTGTTGGTGACGATATGAAAATGTCGGGAAATTGTACACCAAAACTCGTGTGTAAATTTTCATAATGTAGTGCGGAAACTCCTGAGCTCAGCTGAGGAAAGTCGACCCTGGTTCTTTGACGAGTCTTCAGGTTTGTCGGCCGATTCAACGACCTTTCTCTCCGAGCACAACTGCATGGGTGGTTATATGGTCGGCCTCGTCCATTTGATCGCCACGATTGGTTCATAGACCGATGTGGGCAGCGAACGGTACGGTATATAGTAGATTATTACGATGAGCCAACGGAGAAGGCTGATGAGGGCGGTTTCGATGTTGTTATCGAGACCCGACCGGCAGCTCTGGACAGCGCGGGGAATTTTTGGGATTGTGTAGTGATGGGAATCCTATCTGGATTTGGGTAGTAGTCTAGTTTAGGTACGCATGCGAGCACGACGGTTATTCAGCATGGACTGAGCTTTGTGATTGACGTTTCCTGACGATCTCTCGGATGGGGTTCAATTGGTCGAGGTGTGGTATGGAGGTTGCCTCCTGTTTTGATTTTTTCACATGGCGGGTAAGCCGACTGTTCGTGGTGAGTTCGCGTCGGTGGGACTGTCGGCAGCGGGAGGCTTTGGCACTCTACAGAGGCAATGGATGTTGTACATGGGCCTTCCATGGTAAGGTGCTCTAGAGGCCCTCAAATGGAAGGTATGTGTTCAGGGTTATCGGAGGCATGCAAGCTATGGTGTATGTATTTGTGGCTACTCAGCCAGTACTGATGGTCTCGGTATGCACTCTAGAGACGGCGAGATTAGGGTGTAGACCCCATCCGATTGACGAGTGCCCGACTGACCCTTCCCTATACGAGTTGGCTGGGGATATACACAAGTCTGTTGTCAGCGAATTCGGGCTGGCCTGTGAAAATAGGTGGGACCATTTCACCCACTATCGTCTGTGTATAATCGTTCGTAATACAGTTCCTGGGCAGTTGCCCTGCAGTCGGAGTTCTTCTTGGGCTTCCTCGTGGGAGTGTGGGGCATTGGTTGGCTTGCTGACCGCGTTGGACGAAAGCCCGCGTTGTGGATGAGTGCCGTCGTGACCCAGCTCTTCGGTTTGCTGTCTTTCGTAGCGCCGTCCTATATTGCGTAAGTCGCCTCTTGTACCTTATCGGAATCGTTTCTGCGTAGTGTTGGAATATACGTTTGGTTTTCTCAGCTAAGCTTATGAGATTCCTCGCAACGCGATGGGAATTTACACGCGACCGGGGGTAGAAGTGTAGGAAAATCAATGAGAAATCTTTAAAATTTCCTCTGTAGTTGACCATGGGTAAACTTACTCCACACTGTTTGTAGATATGCAATTTCAAGGCTGGGGGTGGGTCTCGGTGTTGGCGGTCTTGGCCTCTCGAGCTACGTCTTGGCAGCAGAGGTCACTGCACCCGAGTGGAGGAGTCTTGTGTGCGCTGGCACCAGCTCGATATTTGCTATCGGTGAGCACGACGGCTGAATCCCTGTCCCGAGCCGAATAGTGTTGAAATATATTTTCGCTTCCCTCAGCTGAGCCCAGGAATTTCCTCGCTGAATATATAAGTTTACATATAAACTCGGGTAGAAGTATGCAGAATCCAATGAGAATTTACTCAAATTTCCTCGGAATTTTCACACATGAAAGCAACATATGTAGTTGACCATGCGCATATTTTCCCACACCGCAGAGAGTATGTCATTTTGGGGTAGACCGGATGACTGGTGGAAGTGCGCCATTCATCGTCCTTGGTCGTAGATTCACGGCTTAGATATGTGCGGAAGCGGAAAGACTAGTGTGGGGATGAAAATTATTATAATTATTTTTTTGATAATTTTTTATATGATAAAAAATTACATTATAAAATTGAATACATTCTGTATAGGAGTTCGTTGTACTCGCCTGCTCGGTCGTGAGTTGGTGGTAGGACACTCGTCTTTGATTTCCAGGTATAGTGGCGGTCTCGGGCCTGGCAGCTATTCCTGGCATCCACTGGAGGCTGCTATCTTTCAGTGTGGGTCCTACTCGGGTATTGGTGTGATGTTAGTAGTAGGGTGTCTTAGGTTTGGATGCTCAGTTGGGCGTGCGTGCTGCCGGCCCTACTGCTGACCCGCTTCCTGGAGTCGCCAGTGTGGCTCGAGGCCCAGGGTCGTCATGGTGAAGCTGAGGCGGGGCTACGCAAGATCGCCATCGTTAACAACAGACTGGCTGAATTCGATTCGTTTTTGAGGAAGTGGGATGATGAGTAAGGATGAAGTGTGGAAGAAGTGGTATGGCAAGCTCCTGTGGCAGGCTGACGGCGGACGCGGATGGAAATCTTTCGATAGAGGAAGGCGAAAGAGGCGGTCCTTCGCCTGTGGACGAAGGCCTGTGGGGTTACTTGCTGAGGAGCAGACTGAATATCATACAGGAGTTTATGGCTGTGATGGTGGCGGCGTGGTAAGGTTGCAGTCTCTCTCGCAAAGGGTCGTGAGTTCGATTCCCGCCAGGTTCGCGTCGAGTCTTGGTTATTACGGCCTGTCGATGAATGTTGGACATCTCGGCGGGAATATTTATGTGAACTCTATCCTTAATGCCTTGGTAAGATGGGAGGTTGGTAGTTGACAATAGTATGTTCCTCATAACCAGGGAGTCATCGACGAACTTGAAATATTTCCGGAGGGAACGAATTTTGGACTTTCAGGAACATTATGTCTGAGAGCTGGATGACTCCCTGCTCATAACCATTGATCTTCCATGGCTTGTCAGGTTGAAATACCCTCCTATGGTGTGATGTACTTCATGGTTGATAACGCCGTTACAGGAAGGAAGCTCACTCTGTAGGTGGCCGTATTGCTGCGGTCATCATGACTTATCCATAATCAGTGTGATATATCTCCTAGCAGCAGGAGTGGCCTGTATGGTGTGCCCTTTCTTCACCTACCTCCATTGGCTCTCTCTCACTATTGCCCTCATCGGCAAGTTTTTCATCTCTGCCGCATTCGGAGTGTGCTACATGTGAGTCTCCTTGGCTGGCCTTCGCCGCGATATCCCTGTGCTCAGATATGGTGCCGAGCTGTTCCCTACGAGCATTCGTAGCTCAGCTTTGGGCATCCAGTCTCTGGCGGCCCGTATTGCTGGTATCATTTCCCCCCTTATACCGCCCCTTGGTGGTTTCTGGTCACCTCTGCCTGATTTTGTAAAACCCATGCTGCCCAACCTGCCGTCAACGACAGTCCTTTTCAGATATTCGGTATTCCGTGCATAGTCGCTGCGGGTCTAACTCTGCGGTTCCTACCTGAGACACTTGGGAGGAACCTGCCGATGAGCGTTGAAGATGTCCGTGGCCTCCGCTACAGCTCTGTGGGTGGGGCTGATGGACCTCGTCCAGGGCATGGTCGGACGCATGGGAAGTATGAGATGCCGTTGGAAGAGTGAGTTAACTGAGTTGTTCTGCACCTGGATGGTCGCGAGAATGTCAGATTCGATACAGACTCATCTGATGGGTATGATGATGAGGACGAGGAGGAGGCACGACGGGCGGAGACTCTGCGTGACGTGTTCGGCACTGAATTTGCCCCTCGGGGCAATGAATAAGCAGGTTTATCAATTCATCACACTCTCAACAGCAGCAGTTCTCATATCCCTTGGCGTTGTGTATTCATAGTAGTCTACCGGGGCTGTGAAAATCTGAGATGTGTCACCTCAACTTCATCATCTGGTAAATCCGCGAGGGATCCAACGAGACGTGTTGCGTCGCGCAACCTTTGGAGAGTGATACGGCGAGTATTACTTACTAGTTAGTTTAGTCGGGGATGAACTGTCACCAACTTAGGCGAGAAAGTTTCTCGGGAAAACGCTGGGCATTCCTTTGAATCGCAAGGTCCGGCAACGCAAGCCGTATCACCGGTCATTACGGACAGATGTCTAGAGCCGTTAACATGAACTCGCATTATAGAAATGGCCAGTCTATCAGGTCGAGGGGTGGTGGGTTCGATGGATCTTACGCGGAGGCGTGCGCGGTTGTTGAGAGAAGCGGAGCGAAGCGATTGATGACTATCACTCTGGAGAATCGATGCTTTAGCTACACAATGTGGCGGCTACCATGCTGGGCTAGTCGAAGTTCATGTACTGTACTCCAAACCCTCATTACAGCCCTCGGATTCGCGTTTCGAGTGTGGTTTTCACCGTGTTGGAATACAAATTAGTGATATATTCTGGAAATTGGTGAACACATCTGTGAAGGATGGAAAGGTGTAAACGGCTCAGTTCTTCTCATTGAGAGTCTCCTTTCACCATGCCGATTGATATCAATAAGCTCCGCGCAGAAAAGGGCGGCGACCCGGAGGCTGTCCGAGCTTCTGAGCAGAAGAGGTAATTGAGTGAAGCATGGGGTGAGGTGTATTGCTGAATCGTAGGTATCGGAACTCCGATACTGTGGGCAATGCTGTAGAGCTGGATCAGCAGTGGCGGAAGGATATGTTCGCTCTTGACAAGCTCCGTGAGGAACTAGGCAAGGTATTGAGGGTATCTTCAGGTTGACCGTGGTAGATGCAGAAGAGGTTCAGGAGTGACCATCGTGTATACTATCAGATTCAAAAGGAGATTACTCAGAAAAAGAAGGCCTCTAAGGGTAAGGACCCTTGCACTGAGGAACTCGTTCGCAAGGCTGAGGGCGAGAAGAAAATTCAGGAGCAGGAGAAGCTCGTTGCTGAAGTTGCCAAGTCTCGTGATGCTGTAATATCGAGTGTGTAAGAATGGTGATGATGAAGGTGTTGATGTTCTCTAGGCTGTACACTCTATCGGGAATATCATCCTTCCTGATGTGCCTGTCGGCAATGATGAGGACAACAACGAGGTGTACAAGAAGTGGGGTCAGCCTAGGTACTATACCATCGATGCATTGAGTAGTCGAGTCTCTTTGTTATTCGTAGACAAATCCTCGTCGATGGGAAGACCCCTGGTCACCTCTACCATCACCAGATTATGTACATGCTCGGTGCTATGGACCAGGAGCGCGGCATTAATATCGTTGGTCATCGTGGATACTTCCTCCGTGGTGTTGGGGTCCTTCTCAATATGGCCCTCATCAACTACGGTATGAGCCTGCTTGTTAAGAAGTAGTAGAGGCTGCTCTGGTGAATACTGTTGGAGCTCGTTTGTCGTGTAGGGGTTACACCGCCCTCCAACCTCCCTTCTTTATGAAGAAGGACATCATGGCTGAGACCGCCGAGTTGGGCGACTTCGATGAGCAACTTTATAAGGTGAGGGTGATGCCCTCAGGGGCTCAGGAGTAGTTCTGGTCAGGTCAGCGAGAACTCCCAGCAGAAGAAGGAGGAGAAGGGCCTCAAGGAGAACGATGGGGAGTACTACCTCATCGCCACTTCCGAGCAACCTATCTCGGCCTACCACCGTAAAGAGTGGATCGACGAGGACCAACTCCCTCTACGTTATGCTGGGTAATTGATACTCTTGAAAGTTGCAATGACATGCCCTTCAGTATTTCTACCTGTTTCCGTAAGGAGGCGGGTTCCCACGGTAAGGAGACCTGGGGACTATACCGAATCCATCAGTTTGAGAAGTTGGAGCAGTTCTGTATCACTACTCCTGAGGAAAGCGTCGCCATGCATGAGCATATGCTCGGTAATATCATCATTGGTGGCCGGCCTTGGCCTTCTCAAGTGCTCGTCTTTAGATATGGCTGAGGAGTTCTATCAGTCTCTCGATCTCCCTTACAGAGTCGTTAAGATTGTCTCTGGTGCCCTCAATGATGCTGCTGCTAAGAAGTACTACTACCTTGTTTATATTGCTCTACAGTAGTCCTGATGATGATAGGTATGACCTCGAGGCCTGGTTCCCTGGTTATAACATGTATAAGGAGCTCGTCTCCTGCTCCAACTGTACGGACTATCAAGCCCGGGCTATGGAGACTCGCTGCGGCCATGTGAAGCAGGGCGAGCGCGAGAAGCGATATGTAGGTTACCAGGATGAAGGCTGGAAGGTTTGGTATGGCCCTTCATAGGTTCACATGTTGAACTCGACACTCTGTGCTACGGAGCGTGCTATGTGCTGTATCGTTGAGAACTATCAGGAAGAGGAAGGTGTCCGAGTCCCCAGAGTTTTGGTAGGATAGTAATAGTATAGTAGTATTGGGTCGATGGTGGTTGCCTAGGTTCCGTTCATGCATGGCATGGAGTTCCTTCCCTACGTAAAGCCTGTCCCTAAGAACCCTGATGAGGGCAAGAAGGTAGGGCCTCCACCCAATGTCAGGGGATGAGTTAATCGTGTTAGGCTGAGAAGAAGTAGAGGGTCTTCTTCTTCTTCCGATAGAAGGAGATTAGTAACATTCCTGTTGCTGCAGTTACTGCCCCTTGTATGACTACTGTTTCGATACCTTCATAGGCTTGATACACCTTTCGTTTTGAGTTGATCAAGTACGCTGAGGAATGTCCAGAGAGTACGTGATTCGATTATAAATGAAAATGTGAGAATCAATTGCAACAAGAAAATGTAATAGTCGTTCCTGGGGTGATACAGCATAGCCCCCAGGGGTGGGTCTCGCCACGATGAAAGGTACAGATGAGAAGGCCAAGAGGTTGTGGTAAGGAGGCCTATAGACCACGCCTCGGGATCCCGATCGCATGGGTCCTAATATCATACCTACGATGCCGATATGAGGCGAACGTAGAGTAGATTCATAGGATGTCACCTGGGAAGTGTTATTACGAGGGCCGAAGGGCTTAGTACTACGAATGGAGGGATAGTCGACCTCTGTGGGGCCGAGTACAACAAACTGGCAGAGACTCAAGACAATAGCCAAAGCACAGAAAGAGCCCAATGAGCCGGACCAGGGATCACAGATGCTGGCGTAATCCGAGAGGACAGTGTTGGGTACTCACTCGGTCCCATTCATCGAGAGGATGTCGATGCGAAGGGATCGTTGATGGCCCTGCCTGCCATAGCTGCTGCCTCACAACGCCACTCAAGCCGTGTGGCGGAGCGCGATCGGGGGCTCATCGAGGGTCTCTGTCGCAAGGCACGTGTCTGCTCCGGACGGCCTACTGCAGAATCGTCCGAAACAGAAAATCGGGAACTGACTGCGGTGTTTTCCAAGGCATGAGCAGCTGACCGAGTTGGGCACTCCCTGTGATACACTCTGACTCTTCTTAGGAAGACTATAGCGAATGTGATGCTAAAGACAAGGGACACCATAGACATGATGACCAGTCGTCCTGGGATGACCTACACCAAGAGGCCAGGCAGTCGGTAGCCTCTGATGACCACTCTGTGTAGCTCTCTGTATCGGGTTGATAAGTGAGTCTCAAATTCATTGAGAAATTCCCAAGTAGTATCCTGAGGACTACGGCGATGCCGCTACTTCCCACCGTAACGGATATTATCAATCCTGAAGCTGACCATAGGTGGACATGCGAGAACCCAAATGAGAAGGGCTGGGCTGGTGGTGTACTGCAGCAGCCACTCTGTAGGTATACGCCTCTCGATGGCCTCATGGACGTCCTGGTAAGAACAATTCGACACCGTGACAGAGTGCGAGGGAACACAACATGTGCAATGAGTGCTGATGAGCTTAGTCACTGACAAATCATCAGAAGGTCAGCACTGAGAGCGACATTCGATGCTGGGCTACTGCTGTAAGCTTGTCAACGATGTGATTGTGATCGATTTGGGGCTGCTGCTGCTGCTGCCACGTGAACACTTTTCCAAGTCGCATACACTGGAAATATGTCTATCGCGGGATCACAACGATGCCCATGCATATGGTCTTCTATCAGAAGTGCCTCCCTACGCATCACATCCGCTCGGCGGTTCGGACATTCCATCGGATCCTCTCGCTTGAGAAATCGTATCGATCCAGAGATGGGTTGGAAGTGTCTATCAGTACTGACTGAGGTGGATGGTGCTATCTAGTTGACAAGCCCGTAGTACACCGAATCGGCTATGCATGATGTTACTGCTAGATCTTATGGTACGCACGAAACGGAGTAGACCGGCACTCACGACTCAACACTTCAATGTCGCCTAAGGAGAGAGGTAGTAGTGGTAAATAGGTAGCTGCCTTTCGAAGATCAAGGCAATGATAATCCCGACTTGAAAAGTCTCACACCCCGCCGGAACCTCCAGCAGCAGAAGGCACTACCGACGTGGCGGGCAGGGTCGCTCGATATACTCAAGAATACGACATTTTCATGAAGATGGTGCTGCTCTTGCTGCAACACTCTTATCGGTATCACCATAGTGATCATCAATGTTATTACTGTCGCAGAGATAAAACAAAGACAACAAAAAGAGGAATAGCAGAGAAGGGGGTAGATCTGATGGAGACTGGATTATAAATCCACAACGGTGAATGGCCTTTGAAGGGATGTCCTCGTACGACTGTTGTATAGCCAAGTGGAAGGGCCCCTTCTCCTTGGGGGTAACGGGCAGAGGCACGGCTCCAGACCTCGTACCGTATGAGGAGGCTGAGAAGGCGACACAGGCGACTATTGAGACCATCAGAAAGAAGGAAAGCCCGAAGGGGCGTCGTGGTAGTCGAGACATGGGCAAAGGCCACTGACAGAGGAATGATCACGAGGAGGTTAACTACAACCAACAACCAACAACAACAACAACGACTATTGAAACGGAAATACCCCGAAATAAATCGACGGTTTCAATGAACGAAAAGGGCCTTGACAATCATCAAAGTTACTTCCAGCGGCCCCCACTAGAATGTAATCATAAATACTCCGGCTACTTGGGCTGAACATTAACAGAAAAATGGTATAATAGGGATGTGCTCGTGCGTAGGGAAGAACGTCCTCGATACTAGCAGGGACTCGTATGACGTGTGGTATCACTCTGGCCAGTGTGGGAAAAGGAAGATGTCGCAGCAACGACCATGGGCTGAGATCCTGAGGAGAGCTCCATCGAGTGGTGATGACCAGTTTCCCATCACTACCATAGTCCAGGATGATCGTGATACTTAGGACCTCCTCTGAAGGGACTCCTACCAATCACCGTCCCTGGTCGTGTCGTTCTGTCCATGGTCATGGAAGAGACCTTCTCCTGCCTTGTCCGTTGTTCCTCCCTCCTCATCTACAGTCTTCCCCTGGGAATATAGAGCTACTGCTAATCCCAGAAAAATGATGGATGGTGGAGTGTCCAGGATCCCTCTGTTGTGGTATGGCCTTTTAACGTGGGCATCTCCCAAGTGTTCCATTGATGCTTCCTTCACAGAGCCCATAATATCACTAATGGGTAGGAGTTCGAACGCGCGCTCAACAGCCTCTACTCCTGACCATCCAGAGGCTGGTGATACGGTGAATAGGAGGATGAGAAGGAAGAACACCGGTCTAACGGGAGAGCCTCGAAGATTATGACCACCTCCGAAAGTCGGCTTTGATGATGTGCTGGACATTTGCGGGATAGCCAGTTGAAAAATCACACCAAGGCCTACAAGGACTGGGGTATCTTAGGTGGAAGCACATAAGATACAGAATAGGTCCGACCACGTGACGTTTTAAGCTTGCGGCACGTTTCCTCATCAGTTCTCTCGCGTGCATCACTTCCCCCATTCCATGGCTTCCCTTTCTGTTCCATTGGCTATCGATAGAAGGAAGGGAACCTGATAGCCTCTATCATGATGATGCTCACCGGAAACAAAAATGTGTTCTCAGTGATACGACTACACCTTTTAAACATCTAGTTCGTTTTTGGAACCATCGATTTTGACGGGACGCGCGAAGTTAGAGGTACGAATCCGGGGCCTATTTCACAAGAAACGCTCCTTAAGTTGCACCTTGGATCTAGGAGCAAGGGGCAAGGAGAAACCGTAAGGTACTTTACAATTTTCGCACCTTATGATGGCTTGTGAAATAGGCCCCCGAACTGGGATTATCATATTCGCAATTGGAACTTCCGAATTCGTCACAGAACATTCAAGTTTGTCTGGGGTCGATAGCACTTTCAAGTTCGCGTTAATAGAACTTTCAATTTCGACATTCGAACCTTCGAATTCGTCATAGAGCTTTCAATCTCGTCGAGCACACCTTCAGACCTTCAATTTCGTCCCTTTAGAAAAATCGATTTCGTCGAGCTGAACTTCAATTTCGCGTTATCGAGGCAACTATGGCAGTGCTCTCATAATGAG